TTGAGGCGATACTCAACTTTCCAGAGCCACAGAGAGTGGAAAGTCTGCGCACTTTCATCGGCTTGGTAAGTTGTTACCGACGGTTTATTCCCAACTGTACTTCCCTGATTCAGCCAGTAACAGACCTTTTTCGAGTGAATAACAAGTCCATCAAACTCAACGCGTCTGCTCAAAATGCTTTCACTCAGGTTAAAAAAGCCATCACGGATGCCACACTTCTTAAATATCAGGATCCAACGGCACCATTAAGTATCTCGGTTGATGCATCAGACACAGCAATCGGTGCAGTTCTGCAACAACTGGTCAACAGAGAGTGGCAACCAATCGCCTTTTACTCGAGGCGCCTACAATTAGCAGAAACGAAGTACAGCACATTTGGCAGAGAACTTCTTGCTATGTGCTGTGCTATACGTCATTTTCAACATTCAGTGGAGGGTCGTGAATTCATAATTTTCACTGACCACAAACCTCTGACGTACTCTCTGAACTCAACCTCAGATAAGTATTCACCTAGAGAATCATGACAACTAGATTACGTCTCACAACTTACATCGGATATTCGCCATGTATCTCTATCTCAACTTAATCGACTTTGAAAAGGCCTTCGACAGCGTCGATCGAGAGGTGATTTGGAAACTACTTCGCTACTACGGGGTGCCACCGACAATTATACATCTCATCCAACAGCTGTACGACAATGCTGCATGCGAAGTAATCCACAACGGGAAACTTACGGAATCCTTCGAAGTGAGGACAGGAGTAAGACAAGCTGGCTGCCTACTATCGCCAATGATTTTATTGATTGCAGTAGACTGGATAATGCGACAAAACAGCAGGCAATGAGGAAACAGGCATAAAATGGACCCACACAAAAAACTTGGAGGATCTGAACTTCGCCGATGATATATGTCTGATTTCCCACAAACCGGAGGACATGCAAGCGAAAAGCAACGAGTTGGCAGAAGAAGCATCCAGAAAAGATAGGACTTCAGGTGAACATAGATAAAACAGAGGTGATGAAGATTCCTGGGCAACACCACCAACCGCAACAACAACAACTGACAACAATCAGCATAAATGGGAGGAACCTGAAAGAAACAACCTCTTTTACCTACCTTGGAAGCATCGTCTCAACTACAGGCGGAACTGATGAGGATATCAAAGCAAGAATCGGAAAAGCAAGACAAGCTTTCACTACTCTCAAGTCTGTGTGAAGGTCAACAACACTCAGCATCAAAAATAAGATCCGGATTTTCAACTCCAATGTGAAGTCAGTGCTACTACACGGATCAGAGACTTGCACTGCGCGTCATAAAGAGCATCTCAAACAAACTACAGACCTTCATTAACAGTTGTCTCCGCTCAATACTCAAGATCAGATGGCCGGCCAGAAAAGATGAGCAACAGGGATCTCTGGGAGTGAACCAACCAGGAACCGATTGTGCAACAAATAGGCAGGAAGAAATGGAGATGGATTGGCTGGCCATACTCTGAGGAAAGTGACTCAAGTGACATCACTAGACAAGCCATTGCTCGAGTGGAACCCGAAAGGGAAGCGGCGAGTTGGTCGTCAGTGCAAGGGTGACTTGGAGGAGGTCATGTGAAGAGGAGATGAAAACGTGTGGTTGGCAGACATGGAGCCAGGTGAGGACTCTAGCAGAGAACAGAACGCAATGGAGACGCACGACTGAAGCCCTATGTTCCTGTAGGAATTAAAGGAAACAATAATAATAATAATTCGCCATGTATCAGGAGTGAACAACACTGTGGCAGATGCCTTGTTGAGCGTTTGTTCCCTCATCGAAAACACGGTATAGACCTTGTGAAACTGGCTCGTCTTCAAAAAGAAGTTACTGGGCTTCAACATGAGTTGTCGAGAAAACACTGCAATTAGCCGAGAAACCCTTAGGTATGGGAAGAGATACTATTCTATATGACATTTCCACGAGTACTTCTCACCCCATCATGCCTAAAAGTTATCGCCGTAAAGTCTTCAATCTGTTGCATGGCTTATCCCACCCAGGTATTCGAACTACCGTCAAGCTCGTAACTAGTCGGTTTTGTTGGACTGGTATTAATAAAGAAGTGGGCAAACACGTGCTTAGCTTTCCACAATTGCGAGGTACTAGGACACACCAAAAGCCCTCTTGGCACCTTTCTTATCCCTAACGCTCGTTTCGAACACGTTTATATAGATTTGGTTGGACCCCTTCCAGAATCTCATGGATAAACCCATATCTTAACCTGAATCGACCGTTTCACACGATGATCTGAAACAGTACTCCTCAAGGATGTATCTTCTGGAACAGTCTCACGCGTCTATGTAGAAAGATGAATCGCAAACTTTGGATGCCCATCCTCCATAACAACTGATCACGGGCAGCGATTTGAAAGTGGCTTCGCCGCGTTTTAGGACAATAGCCTACCATCCTCAAGCTAATGGTATGAAGGCTGGTTTATCACCTGCAAACAATGCACAATGGACTGAATCACCACCATTAGTTGTCCTAGGCATACGAAATGCCTTAAAAGCTTATGCTGGTTGTATTGTTGACGAGCTAGTATATGGCACAATATTACGACTGCCTAACATCCCACCAGCGGAAGGTCACACCTCATACGTCAGCCGGCTTACAAACACAATGCGTTCAGTTAAACCTGCTCCCCTTCGACCACAGTCCGTGGACGTCTTTGTTCACCCGTGTTTGAAAACTTCTTCACATGTATTTGCTTGTCGTGACGGAGTTTATGAAGTCATTAAACGTATGGATAAATTCTTTCTCTTAGACAAAAAGCCCGCGAAGACTCCGTTAGTATCGATCGTCTGAAACCCGACTACTCAGAAGGCGATCCTATGAGCCTAGAACTAAGCATTCTCAGTAATACACAAGTAACCGAATGTCCGTTAGTCCTCAAAGAAATCACTAGCACGGCGAAGGCCACGGAACCTTCTATCGAGCCTTCAAAGAAAACGTGTTCTAGACGAAACGTGAGATTCCCAGAACATCTTCACACTTATGTCATATAGATAAGTCATGCGATTCACCCAATTCTTATTCGTTTGTGGTATTTATTTTTTCCTTTCAGACACATCAATTTTTTTTACATTGAATCTCGCAACACAAGTAGAAACTTTCCTATCACCGTACATGTTACATACACTAAAAGATATTAGATATATACTTTTTTCGATGTTCTATCTTCGCATTATTTTATTGTATGGTAGATGCATATCGTTTTTTAAACGTTACTTTTGGTACATCTTCCTCAAGAAAAATCTTAGCACTCTTGTTTTCTTTTCCAGGTGCGACGGGCACCGAACAACAAGCAAACGAAGCACGAGATCTAACGGACAAAACATCAAAGAAGCGATGCAGAGACACCCTATTAGTACAGGTAGACGACCAGTAGGCACTACATCAAGCCGGTCGGAAGAGATATTACCGATGAAGTTTACTTCCGGCTGGCTTTGTCTTATGGTCTTCACAACCCACTTTAGACGAGGAATGAGCTATAGCGGTAGGTAATTCCCCAGAATTACTGGTTTATTATGTCAATTTCGTTAATATTTCTCTCAAGTCAAATAAATAAACCTGTCGTCTCATCTACGTTTACCTAGGTCCGTGTTCAGACTCATCCAGCAGGAACAAGCATAGTTTGGGAATTCGCCACAGATGATTATGATATAGGATTCGGTTTATTTTTCGAATGGGCTGAGCCAATATCTGATCCTGAAATTATGCAGAATCGTCACACTGTACCAGCCAACTCAAATGGTAAGCAGGCAGACCAACTGTTTGATCTTTTTCAAAATGATATATCACATAGTTTCTTTATTACAATATAACGAGTGAGTGAACTCAGACTGATCACTGTCTGTTGTTAAACGATTTAGACAGGTTGTTTCACTTTATAAGGTGTTTGAGGCGTATCATATCTTATAGTTCAGGAAACTGTCGCTATCATTCCAAGTAGGACGTGAAGTATGTGAGAATAATAGTGGTGATTTTGATGTCTGAGTTGGACCAACCGACTGACTGACTGACGAACCTAGGACTAGGACTACATGTTAAGTGTCTTGATAATGCTCATAGCCACTGGGAGGTACGCGCTGAACAATTGAGTTTACTGGTAGTGACACTGAATTCTGTTTATTAACATTTCATGTCTACTTGTTGAAGAGCCTGCTGAGGGAGGTGAGCAATCTTCTACTTCAAAAGACAGTTGTATGATTTTCTGCGATGTGATTGTTATGTATGCAACAAATGTAAGCAATATCAGTTGACAGTATAATACCGAGAGTGATGGTTACAAATTGGTTTTATCTCACAGTCAGTGTGGCTGGCTAACCAACGACTGACTTCACTTATAGGTAGGTAGGTGGGTTTCTCGCGACAGCTTGAGAAGTAGCACTAAGAACACATGATTGCGTCCGTCAATAGATGATCTCATTAGGGCCTTTGGAGTTTGTTTTTGCAGCTAGCTGATGTCATTGTAAGGTTGGTGGCCGTAAATTCCACCTTCCATGCATAAACCAGTGGTGTGAACCATGAACTCAGGTTTGTGAAGTGACCAACACTAAGGTTGGTTGGTTGCTTATTAGAATAAATGTGTTTTATTATTCTCTCAACCTAACATTTTATTCAGTGCAAGAGATTCATATCTCAGGTTTGAATACACCGATTCCGTATGGTACACATGTTGATGGAGAAATGGCTGTTTATTAGACGGAGCACTGCAGAAATACCCATCATTTTTACAAATAATGGTGCAGATAATAATAACAACAGACAGTGTTGAGCGAATTCATCTGATTCAAATATCTTAGTTGATTTGTTGTCTTCGATTGTTGAATAGAGTAGTGTCAAAGAAGGTCTCTTACAGTCTGATCTATCTAGTTTGTTTAAAGTCCACCATCTATGTGAGTGTGCATTCACAGGGTTAACATTCACGTCCCACTTTCTATTACTGCAGTTAAATGTAATGTTCTACACTTTCAGATGGCCAATCAGACGTGTCTCAGATTGTGAATGCAGACGAGACTAACATTTTGGTGGATGAAATTATACCCGTTTCGCGCCGAAATTCTCAAAGTGAAGTTTGCTGTGGATCCCATCTGTATCCAGGTGCAGGAACCTACGTCTTCAAATTCGACAATTCCTTTTCCCTATGGAGGTCCAAAACTCTGTACTATCGTGTGTGCTACACATATTGACCGCTGCATATTACACTATTAGAAAAACCTATAGAGTTCGCGACAATTTCAAAACCTTGGCTGTGCATTATACTTTCTTAATTTGTTTCTGTATTTCTACTTTTCTTTTGCGTTCAATAGACACGGTTTCAAATGCCTTTCTTTATGTACTAATATATATATGTAAACTCTGAGCAATATATTTCAAGTATGCACCAAAATAACTTGTTGATTAGATTTGTGAGCATTTATTATTTACGAGAAGTCATCAACAACTGTTCGCACTCTGAAATTCAAAATTGGGGTTTACATTTTTAATTGCTGCAAGACGCTTCTGGAGGTTGCGTGTACGCCTTCGGATGGCAAGAGGTAGGGGTTTTTTCGCTGAACCCTTGGGAACATTTAACTCTTCACGAGTTCTCAATGCTGCAACACGTTTTATTGTAGCTAGAGTTTGTTGTTCTTCTGCAGCGAGATGGGGTGGGATTCGTGCATAATTCTTTGCTCTGAATAGGCGTTTGTTGTCCGATAGAATTTCACCTATTTAAAAAACAGAAACCAGTTACTGATGTGATGCTTCGAATTTTCATTATTTGCATTTATATAATACAAAAAGTAGCTAGGAAAATAGAAATTTTTAACTTCGGCATTTTTGAGTCACTGAAATGGGTTAAAGTTCTTTTTTGGGGGAAATAGTTACATACTTTCCCAACCCTTCGTACATGAGCTGTTGTGTGTGTGTGTGTATGATTAATAATATTATTTAGACGGACATCTGTTAGGACATGGGGACCAAGAAGTGGACCATATCATGATAAAAGGACGTTAATATTAGCTAAACAGAAACGAAACGAATCAGGAAAAGCATGCAGTTCACAAGTGTGCATGGCTATCAACTTCGTTCAATTTACTGTTCATTGCTTCAAGCTCGTTTCAGAAAACAGTGGAATCGCGGAATGATTACGTTATGATTGGTTAGGATTCTCAGTCATGTCTGACAACGTTTCGAGTGACTGATTCGACTTGTCTTTCTGATCCTACTAGAGGAGTCGTGGTGTGATGATGGATGCTAACCTACCACACAACTACCCCTCATCCTGTGGCGCCTCGTAATTGACTGGTCACCCGTCATTATTAGCCACTCAGAACTAGATTTGCAATTAATAGTGTTCTCTGAGCTGATTGGTTTAGTTGCGAACCTTCCGTCGTCCTTCTGGACAACATCTTCAGCGCCATATTTAGCACAAAGTGAAATGATTTAAATTTCTTCATGAGTGATATAATTGCGTCTCCTGGTAACTATCTTTACATATGTATTGACGATTTTCTATCGACTTGGATTTTAAACTTTCTGGTCACCTGATTTACTTTTTATTAGATGGTATATTTCGTCTATATTAACGTGCTTGTTAATTGCATTTTCTTTTGAAAACCAGGCTTCTAGCAATTCCCTGGCACTCTTAGTGTTTCCTCTGTCTAAGATTTTGACATTATCCCAATCAAATTGATGACCATAATTGTCTATATGCATTGATACTGCACGAAACGGTGTGCAGACATTGTTTAAAAGAGTTCAGACACATTGAAGCACTCCAGAATTGAAAAGAATGGAAGAAAAGTACCTAAAAACGGTCTTGAAAAAGAATGGTTATCCACAAAATTTCATCAAAAAGTGTTTAAAGTCGAATCAAAACACCAACAAGAAGCCATCATCAAAGACCACAAGAAAATTCATTCTACCATACATGCGGAATATCTCTGAAATAACAGCTAGAATACTGAAACCATTTGATATAGATATAGCACACAAGCCAGTAAAATTGCTTAATTCGATATTATGCAAACCAAAAGATCCAACAGAAAAAGGGGATAAAATTAATACTATTTACAAAATAAATTGTATGAACTGCAACAAGCATTACATCGGCCAAAGTGGGCGTCCCCTTCGAATCAGAATCCAAGAACACAAATCAGCCGTGAAAAGACACCATATGTATTCTTTAGTATCAATGCATATAGACAATTATGGTCATCAATTTGATTGGGATAATGTCAAAATCTTAGACAGAGGAAACACTAAGAGTGCCAGGGAATTGCTAGAAGCCTGGTTTTCAAAAGAAAATGCAATTAACAAGCACGTTAATATAGACGAAATATACCATCTAATAAAAAGTAAATCAGGTGACCAGAAAGTTTAAAATCCAAGTCGATAGAAAATCGTCAATACATATGTAAAGATAGTTACCAGGAGACGCAATTATATCACTCATGAAGAAATTTAAATCATTTCACTTTGTGCTAAATATGGCGCTGAAGATGTTGTCCAGAAGGACGACGGAAGGTTCGCAACTAAACCAATCAGCTCAGAGAACACAATTAATTGCAAATCATCCACCTGAGCTACAAATCTTCTGTATTATTTCAACTCATTACTAGAGCTAGCAACTGGTGAACAGTATCAGTAGGCTCTTGATGACATTCCTAGTGCATGTACAAGCCACCGAGGCAGATATTCAAAAATGACAACAATTATTAGAAGACTATCTCCACTGTGTCCAGACGCTTGTTGTCGGACCTCAGAGGTACTCGCATGTTGGTGCCACTGGATATAAGGAGTTCTACAGAGTCAGCAGTCATGATCGAATACGACTTTGAACCGTTTCATCAGTATTCTATCGTTATTGTTTCTTAGTGTCTCAAGAACTCCAGCTCGGAGATCTGCTGCTGCTGCTGGATTCAACATAGAACTTGGCACCGGAGTGCAGCAGTTTGAGTTGCCACGTTCCAAACAGCACACAAAGGTAGACAAGAAAATGAGAGAAGAGAATCAATAGAATTTAGGTAAGTATAAGTGTGAAACAGAAAGAGTAAAGGTAGAAAGGAATATGAAAGGTTAAAGAGACTGAATACATCTGCGCCATTGACAACGATTTTGAGCCATGTCACCTATTGTCTCCAGCCATTGATTCTTAGAGTCCCGAGGGCACCGACCCGGAAGTCTGCATCTCCCTACCTGACTCAGTTTAACTGTCAGGGATTTCATGGATTGATGCCATGTTTTTGTTTGGCCACCACTTACTCTTTTCCAACCTGCACCTATATCGGCTAGTAACGCCCGTCGAGGGAGGCGATAGCTAGGCATGCGCAGCACGTGACCTAACCATCTCAATCTATGTAACTTCATAGCCTCTTCGATTGATTTTCCCTCTTTGCCCAACACTCTACGTCTGACGTCAACATTACTTACCTTATTATACCACCTAACGCGAGAAAGAGATCGTAAACATCTGTGGTCAAAAACAGACAATCTTTTCATGTCTTCCGCTCTCAATGGCCACGTCTCACCGCCATAGGGAAGGACGGAGCGAACTGCTGAGCAGTATACACGTCCCTTGGTTGACAGCCGGATGTCACGCCTACGCCAGAGACGGTGTAAGTTAGCGAAAGCAGCCCGAGCTTTCTGGATCCGTGCTGTGATTTCGTCACCAATCAATCCGTTGGTGCTGATACAACTTCCCAAATACGTGAAGTGGTCAACATGTTCTATCACTTCACTCCCTATCACTAAGCTAGGAGTTGACGTAGTCCAGTCCTGTAGCAGCATCTTACATTTCACAGGGGCGAATCGCATGCCAAACATACGAAGATTGCTGCTCAAAGTGTTCAGAAGACTCTGCATTTTGTCAGCGTCCTCCCCTAACAGGACTATGTCGTCTGCGTATTCTAAGTCTATAAGACTATTCCCTGGTAACAAGTCGATCCCTAAGTCGTTAAGTTCAGTTAAGGATACTTCCATTAGCATATCTATGATGAAGTTAAACAGAAAAGGGGAAAGTGAACATCCTTGACGGACACCACTGGTTGTTATCAATTCAGATGACAATTCCCCATAAGCCCTTACACAGCTACGTGAGTTTGAGTAGAGTGCCTTGATTAGTGCAATGTACTTTCTTGGCACTCCCTTCATAGTCAAACATTGCCATAGTACCTCTCGATCCACGGAGTCAAAGGCCGCCTTCAAGTCAAGAAATATGGCAATTGTTGGACGCCTAAAAGTGTGTCTATGTTCTAGGATCTGTCGGAGAGTGAAGATATGATCTATGCACCCTCTACCTGGCCTAAAGCCCGCTTGATTTCCCCTCGTTTGTTCCTCCCGAGTTCGGCTTAGTCTGTTCATGATTACTGAGCCTAGGATTTTAGAGACTATGTTCGTTAGGCTGATTCCTCTATGATTATCACATGACGACTTGTCTCCCTTCTTGAATATTGGTATAATAAGTGACTTACCCCAGTCTGATAGAACCGTCTCTGATTCCCAGACGTTACCTAGTTCCTTAGTTAAACTATATACTAGTATGTCACCCCCATATTTAAACACCTCCGGAATAATTCCGTCGGGTCCTGCCGCTTTGCCTCGTTTCAAATTACAGATTGCTTTTGTGACCTCACTTACAGACGGCGGGCCAGTGTCTATATCCCATTCGGGTGTGTGCTGGATGGCTTAGTGTGGCTGTGGGCAAGTTCCTCAAAGTGTTCTTTCCAGCGTTCGAGGCGTCTATCGTGAGAGCTAATTAAGGAGCCATTTTTCTCAGAAATAGTCTCACTTATGACTTGCCTTCTCCTACCCGTTTCCCTGATGAGTCTAAAGAGTTGTCTAGTGTTGCCTATCGCCGATGCTTTTTCCATCTCTTTCGCCTTTGTCAACCACCACTGTTCACGGTCCTTGCGGAGACTTTTCGTAAGTTTCCTTTTGTGCAGCTTTCGCTCCTCATTGAATTCGGAGCTCGCCGGAATAAGTCTTCTAGCATCCATCAGTTCGGATGAGGCAGTCGAAATCCAATGGTTTTTACTCACCTTTGGATTCACCTTTTACAGCTGTATCTATGGCTGACTGAATATTCTTCCAGGCTTCTTCAGGGTGAGCGCAGCTGTCAAACTCAGATATGTGTTTAGCTAGTTCTTCCTCAAATAGGGACTTAGTTTCCTGATCGAGCTGGGAACGTGATGGGTTTACCGCCAGCTGTTTCCCACATCCGTTCAGTCGTAAGCACACACGAGCGCGGACCAGTGCGTGATCGGTATCTACACACGTGTTCCAGAAGGAGCGACAATCTCCTACCGACCCACGCCAACGATAGCTTATTGCTATGTGGTCTATTTGTGTCCAGCGTTGGTTTGATGATCTACACCTCCATAACCAGATCACATGAAATAAACATTTGGAGGCAATTAAAAGGGATGACACCGGTGAAAGGTAGATAGGCGAAGGAAGAAACTGGACTTCAGGCTTCAGAGACGATTAAAGCAGGTGGATTTGCATCGCTGGCGTATATCAAAGTCGTTATTTGCATAAGTAGTTGCATATCCTCTAAGCTCTTCGTAAGTCGACCGTGGTGTTATTTTTTTTATTTATTTTTTTTGATATTTTGATTTACAGCTTGATTCCACACCATATTTTCAGTACAAGTGTGGAATTTTCAGCATGGATATCGGTAGACCAAATTCAGGCCAACCATAGATATCGGGTGTGCGCCGGCAGGGGATCGAACCCCGGACCATGTGCATGGTCGGCGAGAGTCCTAACCACTGTGCCACCGACGCATAGACTTCATTAATGAGTCAAAAGTTCTATGGGTTGTCGTCAGGTCTTTGTCTGGCAACTTACGGATTTCTCCCTGGTCGCATGCAGTGCTTCTTCTAGACAGCTCTAAGCATGTGTCAAACATTTTCCAACCATCTGAATCAAGAAGGGTTCACACACATACAGACACTGACCACCAACTGATTGAGTGCGATTTGACAGTCTCTGTGTTCTCGAACGACAAGACTCAGTTTCCAACGTAGGACTTTGCACAAAAGTGCAGTAGTTCAAGTTCTTACACTTCACATGCCACACATCAATGTCGGGAGAAGAATGGGATGATGGCGAGCTACCTAGAATGGTGACCACATTGCAAAACCTGGCTGATAGAATTCAGTCTGCAGGAATGAAAGAACTAGAGACGGCACACCAGTTGCTAGTGTCCAATGCAGAATGGAAAAGAACTGTGATGTACGAGATAGAGAGGGTTGTGAGAACCATTCCATTGAGAGAAAAAAGAGAGTATGATGGACTCAGGAGTTTCTGAAGAGTGAACGCATCTGCATCGTGGAGAACGATCTGGGGTCGAGTCACCAACAGTACAGCTATAGCTTGAGACAATCTGCACCTATCCTTACCTGGCTCACATGAACAAAGACTGAATTGATTGATGTCATGCATTGATTTGACCAGCTGTAGATCTATTCCAAGCTAATCCTAAATCCCCTAACCTTGGTTCACGAGATGAGTGACCTATTGGGGTACATGACACATGTCCTAGCCATCTCAATGGATGCAGCTGCACAATTTCATCGACTAATTATCCCACTTTGCCTCATATTCTACGTCTAACTAGAATATTATTCACCAGAATATAGTTCTGTATACCGCTTAACACGGGAGATACAAGGCGAAAACCTATGTTAAAAGGCAGCTAGCCTTCTCTTATCCTCCACTTTCAACCGCCATGAAGGACGAGGGAGCGAGCTACTGCTCAGTACGCACCTTCTTTGATCAGTAGACATCACATGTGTGTCAGAGAAGGCGTAAGTTGGCAAACTCGAGTTGAGATTTTGTCGGCAGTCAGTCGATTAGGACTGGTGCAACTTCGCAAATTAGCGAAGGGGTCAACACGCCTCAGCATTTCACTGACTGTTGTCTGACTGTGAGTCAATGGAGACGAGTCTTGCAGCGGTATGCTACATCACGGACACCCGGTTTTGTAGTTCTTTGATCTGTCGTCCAATCATGCAGGCATTTTGAAGTTCGTTGAACACTGGCATGGCTGTCAGACTCATTAACCAGTCAGTTGTGTCTATAGGTCGGGCTGCATTCACTAACTGCAGCTAGTGGGTGATGGAGATGAGGAAATCCCGGTCGGTGGGTCGGTTTTCGACATAGAACTTTGCACATATGTGCGGCAGTTCAAGTCGCCACAGTCTATGTAGCACACAAAGCAAGAGAAGAAAGTAGGAGAAATTCATAATATAGACAGTAAACAGAGGTGTGAGACAAAGATATAGTAATAACGAAGAACAAAAGTTTCATTGGAAATCATAAGTCACAAGGAGTGGATGCATCTGCGCCAGCCATTGAGAACGATTTTGAGCCATGTCACCAATTGTTTCCAACCATTGGTTTTTACCGTCTCGAGGACCCCAACCAGGAAGTCTACATCTCCCTACGTGACTTAGACTAACTGTTGTGGATTTCATTGACTGGTGCCAAGTTTTGGTTTGACCGCCGCTAGCTCTTTTCCAGCCTGGCCCTATATCAGCTAACATTGATCGTCGAGGAAGGCGATGACTAGGCATACGTAACACATGTCCCAACCATCTCAGTCGATGTAATTTCACAGTCTCATCGATTGATTTCCCCGCCTCACCTAGCACTCGACGCCTAACCTCAATATTGCTCACCTTATTATACCACTTTACGCGGGAGATAGAACGCAGACACCTATGATCGAAGACAGCTAATCTTTTCATGTCTTCCGCTCTCAATGGCCAGGACTCACAGCCATAAAGGACAGCGGACTGTTGAGCAGTACACATGCCCTTTGTTCGATAGTCGGATATCGCGTCTACGCCAGAGACGGCGTAAACTGGCATATACGCCGTCCCATAAACTGGGAAGCTGGCAGCTGCGTTTCTGAGTCTTCGTTCAACACTGGTAACGCATGTCTCAGAAGGACTGTCGGGGCTACTGCCAAGAGCAGTGGACCTTTACACTTGATATGCTATTTACAAGTAGCAAACATTATCATATTATAGTGGATCAATATGTATGGAAGTAAAAATAACTCGGTCAGTAGTGATGAAAGTCATTCAAAATGCGTATCTTGTACGTGATTTTCACATGTCACAAAAAGGGCATAGCAATTGAGTTCTTATTCAGATGAACGGTCAGTAACATCATAGGTCGAAACGACGCTCTAGTCTAATAAACTTGCTGCAATTCAAACAGAATGTTGGGCTGTTAACTGGTTACATTCTTATTTCTCAGAAAGAAAGCAATACACTGTGTATAAAGGGAAGTCTTCCACTTCATTGCCTACTGAAGCTGGTGTCCCTCAATGCGCTGTCCTTTCTCCTTTTCTTTCTTCTTACATGACTTGCCTCAGTCTGATGAAATAAACTTTGTGAAGTACGCTGATGATTTAACTGTTTCAATGGCTCATATGAACTGTGATCAAGATTTGACCGGATAGTTGCAAAATAATTGAGCGCTGAGTGAGAAGTAGACATAAATTTATATTCATATGAAAATGTGAGATCACGCATTTTCGTCATCATTCCCACACTACAACTGGTGAAAAACCTTGAATTGTAGTAGTGAATATACAAGAGGATCTTAACACCAAAAACATCTTTAGAATGTGATCACAATGGTTATTAGGAATAAGGTAGTAAAGGCACTAGCTTTGCTGAAAAAGGGCGAAGCCTTATGTACATGGTTCTCTGAGTTTCAGGGAATGATGAGACCTAGCAAACGTTAGTTTGTGAGAGTGTGAGCGATGGTTGCAACTGTGGATGCGGCCTGATTTTTAGTACAAGTACTGACCTCTTGAAGTAAGTTGCATTTCACCGAAGTTCAAAGTGATGTGAGAGATGTGGATACACGCCTAATGTGAATTGGAGGTGAAGAGTGCTGGTATTGTGTTACAAAACTACAAATTGAACAAAGTAGGACACCATCAACACCTGTGTTGTGAAGGATTTCATAAAGGGACAAATGGTGAGGGTATATTATGGTGCAGTTTTACGGAAATTCAATGAGATTCCAGGAGTTATGAAGAAACATTTATGATAGAACGTATGGCAAACCTTCAAGTTAAGGCTTTCCAGTGGTCTTGAGATAATTTGTTTCACAATATAACACAATTTTGTGTGAATTAAATACTTAAAACCATAATGAACCACTGAAAAACACCGAACGCTATATACCAAGTAGTACACTTACATTTCATGATCTTATTAAATTGCAAGAGATTGTCTAATGTTGATGCAACAAAAGGGGCGACGTCATTTGCCATTCGTACAAAAGCATGGTCTTTATACCTGTTCGTCTACAAAACATTAAGTTTGGCAACACGAACAAACCTTTTTAGATTTCGGTATATATAAGTCATAAACTTTCCCGAACTGTTCCAGGTATTTATGAAGTTCTGCCGGTCCGAAATATTTCGGTAGTCTATTGATACGCAACACAACCATGTTGCTGTTACTTCTCTTGGACGTGCTCGCCATGTAGCGGACCTGAGAAAAAACGCGGGTGCTCTCTTCCAATATCCAATATCCTGATTACGAGCTAGTATAAACCAGTGATTCCTCTGAGCTCGCTTCTTGATTGTAAGGTAGAGGTTTCAGATATTCGGTGAACTTATGCGTAGTAAATCCCGCCACTCGACTGCTTTAACTCTGGTAGACTCCAAGAGGAGTGGTGCGAGGACTGGTCAAGATGTGGTTTGTAGTGTGCAGTATGTTAGGACTCAGTTGCTGCTGTGAATGGAGTTTGACCTAACACCCGTTGGTCATTCGGTGTAGTCATAAGAGTAGAATAGTAATAATAATAATAGGTTGTAGTGTAGATAATATAGGTTGAGATAAGTGAAATAATAAAGGTGACCTAAGGAAAAGATAGAGTAGATTTTTAACTGTTTGTCGAGATACAGATGACATATAACACAATTTTATTAAAAATTATTGGCGAAAAAAATTTCTAAGCGAAAATTCAACAGAACGTGATATATAAGTCCAGCCCCTCTTCTTGCAATGCATTTTTGATGATCGTGTTTATACTGCATGATACATTCGCACACGCTTATTGCCGCTTTGAAATAGGTCCAGGTTCTTCGTAGGTGTCAGGTAAAATCCATGGTGTAGATTGTTGCTGCTCTATCAACAGGAAGAGGTATATTAATTTATTTGAGAATATATGTATACACCGTGGAAGTAGCACTTCAGAAACTAGCAGGCTAGATTGCGTTGGGAAACGCTGCAATTATTGGAAAGTGATTTGAAAAGCTACTTATATATTACAGTTTGAATTTCAGAAATTAGTATTGAGCATCTTGACATGACACTAGTAACTAATGTGATGTTTCTAGTCCTCTCTTTGGTGCAGACTGAATTCTATCAGTCAGGTTTGTAATGTGGCCGCAATTCCAGGTAGCTCGCCATCACGGCGCACAATGATTTGATGATATTAGATGGTTGGAGGCAATCAGCAGGAAGCCTTGAGCATCAGCTTAAGATATTCAATAGCGCCCATCTAATAATGTGTATTGATTAGAGTGACTTCAGTTGCAATTAGCTCTTTCATATTTCTCAAGCATCAAAATCCTAATAATTTTTATGAATGAAAGTCCAGATAGAAGCGGAAAACACGTGGGAAGAACTCGTAATGGGTCAGAAGGGCCTTGAAAATATGGGTGAGGATGGAGAATTCGTTTTCAATGGCTTAGTAATAGGCGGCGACATGACCAGACGGATATAAATAAGGTGATACAGGTTTAGTCAGGTGGGAAAATTGCAAATCAGATGGAATACATTTTATCCTCAAAACGAAGGAGATGCGGCCTTCTTGACACGAAATGAAAAGGAGGAGCAGATGTGGTTGTAGACCATTATTTAGTGCAAGGAGAACTCAAGATTGAGCAGAAGACGTAGAAATAAGATGGATATAGACAAGAACACACGAAAATTCGGTGACAAAACTACGAAGGATCCATTTACTGCAGCCATCAGAGCCAAGTCGGAGGTATTATGTTGCATCTTAAATCATTTTGTTTTCTCTGAGCCGGTTGATTTAATTGCGATGCTTCCGTCGTCAATTTAGAAAACAGCTTCAGAGCAGGTTTTGTTAAAAAATGAACTCATTTGAATTATCCATGGATGATGTAATTGTATCTCCTGGCAACCAGTGCCTTGACTGGTTTTTAATTTGTGAAATAATATATACCATGTCTTCTTACAGACAATTTATGTTCTTTGATTCTGATTGGAAGGGGACCTCCACTATGACAGATGCAGTGTTTATTTGAATTCATTCAATTTACTTAGTAGGTAGTAATAATTTTATCTTCCTTTTCTGATAGATCTTCTGGGTTGCACAATATCGAATGAAGTGATTGTTCTGTCTGTCTTGTGTGCTTTATCTATTTCTAACGGTCCTAATATTCTAGCTGGAGATAATTGGAGATAATTTTTAAATGTATGGCAGGATGAATTATCTTGTGGTCCTTCATGACAGCTTGTCTTTGGTGCTATGACTCGGGTATGAACACTTTTTGCTGATATTGTGAGAATATCCCTTCTTTTTGAAGACCGTTATCAGGTATTTTTCCTTGATTTTCTTCAGTGCCAGAGTGATACAGTGTGCTTCAACTCTTTCCAAAAGTGTCTGCATATAACTTATTTTGTGAGTAATCGTGTTATGACTGTTATAGTTTGGTAATTGGTCTGTGTGTGTTGATTATACACATGATTGTGTTCCTAAATTCCCTGTGTCATTTCTCTTGATTAAGTAAGACATCTAAGAATCAAATTTTGCTGCCTAATTATTCTTCTCTTCTGAAATTAATGTCTTCATATATGTTTATTAATTCATGAATATGTTCCGAATCACTTCTTTGGATTATTACAAATGTAATATCAACGTAACGTTTCCAGAGTTTGGGTTTAATTATAGGTAGTGCTATTAATTCTAATCTTTTTCTAACGCCTTTAGCTATTAGTCCTAATATAATCGATCCCATTGGTTTTCGTTTCATCTGTTCGTATATATTTTTCATGAATTGGAAGTATATTATAAGAAATGCTTTTATGAAATTCATCCGAGTTGAACATTTTGTTTTTGTGTTCTTTTCCTATAACCGGAGAAACCTGAATGGATAGAACATTGGGACTCTCCGATGGGATGTTCAAGGAAGCATCTATAGCCGTTCCAAGAAGTAAGACGGGGATAAACAAGAAGTGACTGGAAGAAAGGCTATCTTGTCAAACTACCGAAGAAGACCGACTCGAACGTTTTACCAAAACTGGTGCGGAATCATGCTGCTGTCAACGCCAAGCAAAATATCAGATCGCGTCATCCTGGTGAGACTGGAAGATACGCTAGATACAAAACTCTAGCTGACACAAGCTGCATTCAGGTAACGCAGATCATGTGTGGACCATTTCTAGTCACCACGCGTCTTCATCAGACAGAGAGGAGAATAGCAGTCAAATCCTTACTTCAACTTCGTTGGCTTTGAAAATGTCTTCGCCAGAGTCTTCTGTGAAGCGATCTGGAGACTGTTTCAACACGACGGAGTGCTCCTAGCCTTTATCAACCTCATTCAACAGCTATATGGTGGTGATGCCCCATGTTATTTCGGCATTTCATTACCAAAGTGAGGCCAGTTCTTCCATATGGTCCAGGGATTTGAAATGTCACCGAGAGCATATAGTTTCGCGACCTCAGTTGCCTTCATTCCACACAGAAGATCAGATGAACAAACGAGATGTCTTATTATACTCCAATCCTAGGGAATAAATGGTAGGCTTCTCAGAAGTTCCATTTTCACAGATAAAGGGCAGTTAGTCAAAACCGAACGCCAGTTGTCTACACCTGGACCGATAACTAGGGGTATATACTGGAGGTAGCTTCCTCAGCCCTATTTTTATCCTACTGATTCATGAATGATCAAATGTGGTAACCCATACCTCTTTGAGGATTGTCTCAAGATTGAAGGCTATTTCAGATTTAACGATATGAGCGTTGAAAGTGAAATCCAACGTGGCAGGCGGTGAAGTGAAAAATGGTTATCGAATACAACACAGACGAGTGCGGTATAGACTATTCTGAACATTGGAAACTAAGCGTGTGTCGATGTATGTAGTGTAACCTCCTTTGAAAGTCAAACACAGTCACGGATCTTGGGATGACATATGCAATATATCCTTCTCCGACCATTCGAATAATGTCATATCTGACTTTAAACGACTCACTGGCTTCGCTTTGCACAACTATTACACTGAAGCAGAAATATTAGCTTTATAAAAATGTATTCGCTCTAAATTTGAATACTGTGCTCTCTTTCGTAGTAACATAAAGTCAGCAGGCCAAAATAAAGTCGGAAGCGCCCAGAAATTTCTGCAGAAACAAAGTGTGGTTTGGCCACCAGGTGGAGTATGTTGACAGGTGTATCCGACTGAAATTTGAGCCTTTATGGTTATGGAGATTGAAGTGCAGCTTATTTCTACCCTAGGAAGTTAATAGGAAACATTGCTACAGTAACTCATCCATAACGCGGGCTGACACCTAATTATATCCTCTGAGCCAATCTGGAAATCTTCGTCCCTCAGTATCAACAACAAGAACCAATCGCCCAACACATATGCAGGAGAAAGTGGGGGTGGATTGGACACTCGCTGAGGAGGCCGCTGGGTGACATCGCGCGTCAGGCCCTCGAGTGGAACCCGAAAAGGAAGCGGTGAGTGGGACGTCCAAGGGAACAATAAACAATAATGTAATAATAATAGCTTACGAGACTACTCTCCCAAGGCTGCGATGCACAAACAAACCAGCAGGAAGAACTATTTAACCACTAAATATTACAATATTTGGAACCAACCACCTCTACAAGTTAGTTCTTGTGGAAAGCCCGATGAGTTAAAATGAAGCCTAGAAGAACACTTAAACACGTCCACTCTAGCTAGTCTAAGAGATCACAACTGTTGGTAGGATAGTACAGTGTTCAGCTAGGTCATTCACATCGATCTCAATTCTACTACATATGCAGCTGTAGCGGTAAATAATTCCCAAAAATTATTGACCACAGCAATCATCACTCAACATTGGATGCTAACCCTCACTGTTTAAGTCGACTTGTTTAGCTGAAAGCTTCCGGTCAAGCATCCATGCCATTTGGTACTCCGTCGTGTTACGTGCGTGCACGATCACTAGCCAGCTAAGCATTCACTTCAGCCCACGACTTGATCCCGAAATATATTACGTACTTTGGACGACTAAATCTGGTCTTTTGCTTTGTCTTTGGTACTCAAAGAGCGAACACTATAGAAGTGGTTAGTATAAGATCTTGCGTTAGTATACTCCGTACAATTCGTGAACGTCGATACCTTCAGCCTCCAAACAGCAAATGTTCAACCAGTTCTCTTCCTTAGAATCTACAATAAGTGTGGTTGATTTAATTATTTCTAGAAACGATTAT